GAAACCTATTCAATGAAGCATTTTCAAAAAGCATTTCACCATCTATAAAATCAGCTAGAGCACATAAATATCTATTCAAATAACGATAACATCTATCATCAAGTGATGACTCATCAAACAAATACGCAAAAAGAAAATCCTTTCAACCGAGACAAAATGAAACACGTTTAAGACAAGTGAAATAAAAATGACTCAGATGAGTACGTTGAAGATCTGTAAGAAGAGGAAACACAGGATATAACCATGTAAACAATGGTAAAACATAAGAAGAAAATAAAGCTCTTCTAAGAACCCTAGATGTTTTACCAAAAAATCGAAAAGAATTAATGAGACATAATCTTTGTCTAGTTTTCAACATAGACATATGGATTAGTTTGCCCCATCCTAACCTAGGAGTAATATAATATCCAAGATATTTAAACTCTTTTGTCCACTTAGTTGTATGACCACCAAGTATAATATCGAATTGAGGAGAAAAAGGAGCACGTGTACTCCATAAAGCTTCAGTTTTAATATAGTTTATCGGTTGAAGTGTAAGAATACAATAGTATTCAAGTTGATCACAAAATAACTTGAGTCTTTTCTCAAGATCTATATATTGAATAGAAAACTTCAATCCTATCTGACCAGCAACAACAGCTGCCAAGTCGTCAGCAAAAAGATGTGACGACGACCACGAAAGAAAAGCAGGCATATCAGCATGATATGATATAAAAACAGTAGGAGTAAGGGAACTTCCCTGGGGACCACCTTTTTCAATCCCAAACCATCTAGATTTTACACTATTAGTTTCAACGAATCCTCTTCTATTCTCAAGCCAAGCTCTGATCCAATTAGTGAATGATGGTGGAATGTCCATTTTACGAAATTTACCAACACAACCTTCATGCCATAACATATCAAACGCACTTTTGAAATCAACAAAGAACGTAACCGTTGGAGAACTATCAGACATCAGACTATAGATATTATCAAAAAATAACAACAATCTTGTCTGCAACCTAAACCCTTCACGGAACGCCGATTGATTGTTAGGAAGTAAACCTCTTCTATAAAGAACATCACGAAATCTAGATAGAAACAATTTTTCACCAACTTTTTGAAAACAATCTAATAAAGATATAGGACGAGTTAATGCAGGTGAACAAATTGAATCTTTTTAGCTAAAAGTAAAATTCTAGTATCTTTCCATGCAACAGGAAGAACAGCTGAAGAAAAAGAAAGATTATAAAGATGAAGAAGAAATGACCAATGCGATGAATGTAAGAAATTGAACATATAATTACTCAAACCATGTGCATCTAAAGGTTTCTTTTTTTTTATACTATCAACCTCCTGTAATAATTCATCTTAAGATACTTCAGGAATAGGATCATCTTTATTATCAAAATCTAGCAATGGTGCATCAACATAAGGATGTGGTCTAACTATATTATCAGATCTTCTGAAAAAATCTTCATAAAAATCAGCAGCTATATCACACATTCCAATAGAATCATTCACAATTGCACCTGAAGAAACAATAAAACCATTAAGAGAGAACGAAGTTGGTTTAATAAAACGTTTAGCCTTTGACCAAAAAGAGACA